CCGATCCAGCGTTTGTTCAGTTTCGGGAAAGATTTGTAAAAAAATTTGGGCGATGATCTATTTTTCTCTGATATCAGATTTAGTAGAATGATATGGGCCTGATAGCGATACTGATACCCATCAACACTGATATGCCATCTCTAGATTTGGAGTAGTGGTGCAGAGCCTGTAAAGCACAACTTTTTCAGCATTTTTAACTTTGTTTTGCTGGTGAATTGTATTGTTTTAATTGGTTCACAAATCTCAGAAAAAAAGCTAAATCCTATGATACGTACGTACAGCATTGGGCAAAAGTTTTAGGTAAACCTTTGCCTAATTATGTTCAAAAAGTTATTTATCTGGACATTTATTTGGTCAGAAAAATGTTAGTGTTAGAATAAATACAAGTATCATAAATGCAGTAAGCACTGATTTTATAAATGTCATTGTGTCATTGTTTAACCATTTCCAAACCTCTCCTCATGGAAGACTGTGGTTATCCTCCAGTACCAGGTTTGGCTAATCAGTGATTCCGGTGAACTTTTTTGAAAACAAGATATTAATGTTGCTTTTTCTGCATTAACCTTTGTTTGGAGTTATTCTAATGTTAAATGTTGTGTTCATAAGCAAAAACACAACTATCGTCCAGATAAATGTGATGTGAAATGGTGAAATGGTGCACTGAAGAGAAATTTTGATTGCTCAAATGTTGCTCTTTGATTGGTCGGGAGACTTAATGGTGATTCTCCTGAAATTCCTTTGGAGAAATGGTGTTAGACAAAAATAGTTACTCACAACTCACAGCAGCAAAACTGAAAAAATAACAAAATGCTGAGTTCCAGTCTTGGATTCAGTTGCAGATGAACATGAGCATTATTATTTTGGAAAATCTGAGCCCAGTATGTGACCTTATTGAGATCTCAGCTAAAACACTGGGCTCTTTTTCTCAGGAGAATCTGAACTCGTCTGGTAAAAACTACAGCAGTATTAAAGGGGTATCCCACAGATTCTACAAAACATCTACATAATTCAAAACATTCATTCAGAGTGGTTTGATGTGAAATGGTGCACAGAAGAGAAACTTGCTGACTCACATTTCTTCACAGTGGTGGTGATGGGAACCAGGGGTCGCTGCCTCTACAATGCAAATGTAGCCGTTTTATTTACTATCCAGAATGACCAGTGAATCTATGTGTCTTCTAATGTTGCTAGATAATATTGGTAAATCTGAAAAGTACTGTTTTACTTAATAATGCCCTTTGTCTTATTACTGTCCACCATGAATGGATTTTAAAAATTTTAGACCAAAAGCTTTTATCAAAATCATAAAATCATTGTAAAACACTATCCCAGTCATCAGACACTGTATATATAACTGGTTCATGTAATAACTTTCTGTGAGGGAACTTTTAGAGGCCTTAAACTCTTCAGACGTCTGGTTCCTATCACCACCACTGTGAACGATTCTGACTCTGCAAGTTTCTCTAGAATGGAGCACTTCACAGCCAACCACTCTGAATGACCTTTGTTTTCACTGTTACAATTTTATTGTGCAGACATTTTAAAAAATGACTGGAATTCCCCTTTTATATTTCTCTCGTATGGAGAGAGCACAAATGAAGGAGAGAGTAAGGTATGAGGAGAGAGAGAGAGGGCATTCTTTTCCAGAGTGTTTGGCACTGTGAGAGGACTTTTCCATCCTCATGTGCTGAGCACAAACACTACAACCATACATACACATACACACACACTGCCGTCCTGCTCTGTGCCTCAGCAGTATCACCCCTGCTCTACTGCACTGGAGGGTTTTTTCTTGCAAGGATGTGCAAGAACCTGTGTGTTTGTGTATGTGTGTGTTTCAGTGAGAGTGATGGGTGGGAACAGATGTAGTAACAGCAGCCCCCCCCCCTTTACCCTCACACTTTCTCCCAGCCAGGGAGCGAGAGGCTTTTATAAGAAGTGCCTCTCTCTCTCTCTCTTTCTCTCTCTCTCTCCCCCTCTCTCTCTCCCCTTCTATTTCTCACTCTCGCACAACCACACAGCTCTAAACTTGCCCCTCTGTTGTGCAATCCAATCTATCTCTGCCTGTCTCTCTCAGCTCGTTTACGCCACACACCCCAATCTTTCTTCTCCTCGCTTTTCTTCCCCCTGTCTCTTCATTCATTCCTTCTCCCTTCCTCCTTGCACAAGACACAAGTGAGTTTCTCTTCTGATTCATAAACATTTTCTTTCTTTTTTCCAACCCTCACCCTCATCACTTCTTTGCCCCTGCCCCCTCCCCTCAATCATCTGTTGCTGTTCATTTTGCAGGCCATAAAAGTGCTGGCCCAGCATCTGCTCACCCAATCAGAGCTTGAGGGCTTGAGGATGCTCATCCAAAGCAGGGAAAGTAATCCAAGGCAGAGCCGTGAAGTGATTGGTGGCTCGTTATCCACCCTTTGGGTGTTTTGGCTACCATCAAATATTTTCATAATGGATGTGGCTGAATGCAATTAAATCCTCACTTCCCAGAAGAGCAGAAGAACAGAACATCTTCTTACCCTTAATTTCAGAAGAAATGTTGGAGCAGGTGGACGTGTACTATATCTCTCAGCTCTCTTTAGTGGGACAGCAGCTACTAGTTGAAAGCAAAAGCCACGAGACATAAAGTGTGAAACGCTGAGTTGTAGAGAAACTTATCAACTCAGATTTTCTTTACAGTGGTGGTTTTATATGGTAAAAATGTGGTAAATTTTAAGAATTAAGTTTTCTTTGGGAACTGTTTTGCCTTACGATGCCATGCATTCACCTGCGTTTTGAGCGAAAACCTTGTTTGAGAACGTAATGTGCATCAAGCAGCATATTTATGGAAAAGCTTTGTCAGATGTCTGGTTCTTATCACCACCACTGTAAACAATTCTGACATGGTAAGTTTCTTTAAAGAGAGCATTTCACCACAAAACACTCTGATTGACATTGTTTACCTTTATCTTAATTGAATTATGCAGAACTTCTAAAAAAAAAAAAAATAAAACTTGTGCTTTAATTGTTGAAGTGCAGATAATCTGGATGTAGGTTTGACTGAAATCAGCTTTTGGACACTGACACAGTTCCTTCTCTCTTCTCCTCCTCCTCCTCCTTCTTTTCTTTCTCCCCATATCTTACCCATTCTCCTTTTCCTCCCCTTTCCTGAACAAACATGTTGGCGTTCCTCCTCCCCCTGAGGGCCCCTCTGCCTTACCCACCCTGCACATTTGATGTGTTAGCAGGTTACAGTTCATCAGTCTTGTCTTGATGATCTTCTGTGCTGAAAGTGAAGCTGGTTGCTAAGACAGCAGTGAGGTGTAGATGCAGTGTGAGTCTAGCGGGCTTCAGCTCTGGCCGCTCTGTGTCTGACTCTGGTCTGCGTCCAGCTGGCTGAAGCTCACGCATGAAGTTTCTCCAGTTGGTGTTGTTCATCCTCATGATGATCACGTCCGTCACATTGCAGTGATCCAGCCAGCACCACTGGCTTCCTCAGGGTGCTTTCATCACCTGCGATGGGTATAATGAAACCAGCTTGGATGGAAACTCGCTCGCCCGCTCTCTTTCTCTGTGTTGCACTCCTCTCTCTTCTAAGGAGGAAGTGGCCTGGACCGGAGAAGAGCTTCCTGTGGGGCTGTAAACGGGAAATAGCAATTAGCTGAGGGACAAGCCAGCTACTTCATGTCGTTCTCTTTCTTTCTCTCTCTTCCCTTCTCTTTTTCTCTTTTCATCTTTGCATATTTTCCTGCTTCCTCCTTTCCCTTCTTTCCTCTGTGCAGGGATTCCCCTCACTTCTTTCAGTCAGTCAGAACTAGTGCTTAGCTAACTTTCATCTGTCCCAGGCCTTTGTCTGGTCACTCCGACGCTACATACGGTTCAGACTGATGTGCAGTGTGGGTCCTCTGTCCACTGTGCCTCAGTGTTGCTTCCCCTGATTCACTACACGACTAATCTGAAAACTCGCCTGCTTGTTGGTAGGGATGTTCTGATATGGAAATTCTTGGCCGATGCCAATATCCGATATTTTTCATGTGCAAGTCTGCCGATATCGGTATTTAAATATTTTATAAAATGTAGAAATTGGGACTAGATCCACCCGGATTACCGTTACAGAAGAAGTTATTTGTAGAGGGTTACAAATGGTGCAAATGGTTACAAATAGAATGAATAAAGTGCAGATATTGTAGCACAGTAGCTCAGCATCTCCTAAACATTCTGCTTTTCCAGCGTACATTAAATTCATCTTCAAATATCATTTTGAACTGTCCCCTATGATTTTAATGTCATTGTGCAAGTTTTTGATCCAACAGCGATGATAAACTAGTACAGATGTCTCAAATCCAGACCTTGAATCCAGTTTCTAGTCCTGTATTTTGTCATCTCTGGTAGTTAGTTGAACTGTTGATGTGACTGATGGTCTCCAGAAACTGGATTCTAGGTCATCATTTGAAGACCCCTGAACAAGTAGTGTATATAACATTCAGTATCAACGGCTTGCAGTGGTGAATACTTTAAGGAGAGCTGATAATTCCTGGCAGAGATTTGACCTATGCTCATGTGCTTGTGCTAGCATCAGCCACACTTGTGTGGTCATGAGACAGACAGACAGACAGACACACGCATACACGCTCACTCTGTTGTGCTCTGTGGACAGGTGCTGGAGTCATAAAGCATGTGCAGGGCCAAAACCATGTCAGTGGGTATGATGTCTTGTCTTTTAGGCAGGGGTAGAGGACACTCTGCTCTGTATGCTGACCCTGCAGGCCCCTGTGGCCTTTACCTTACCCTGTCTGTGTGTGTGTGTATATATATATATATATATATGTGTATGTGTATGTGTGTATGTATGTATGTTTGTGTGTGTGTGTATGTGTGTAAAATCACCCTGACACCCTTTGGGCCCTTAATTATAAACAGACTGAGACCATTTTCATACTAGTTTTATAAAGCAGCAGATTTAAACTGCTACTATTTCCTTCATCCCCCCATTCTGAACATCACTCCTTCTTCTCTTGCAGTGATGGAGAGTTCAGTGGAGGAGAAAAAAACAGGGGAGATGCTCAGTTCCGCACTTGGCACCAAGGAGACCAAGCAGAAGGAGGAGACAGAGAAAGCCGTTCCCGCACAGACACGAGAGAAACACACTGGTAAGAGTGGCCACACTTAGCTGAGAAATACCCCCTACTGCCCCTTGGGGAAAGCCTATGGACATGCAGTGACAGTTTGAACAGTATTACTGTGTTTGATGGATAAATTGGATTAGTGCACTGTGGCCCGTCTGTCTGAAGGCAGTGGAATGCTATTGACTATAATTGATTACAATAATATTCCATAAATTTGTCGATCTTTTTTGACAAAAACATTCACAGGCTAAAATTCATAATAATGATAATAATAATTAAAAATAGAGATGAAGTAGGAGATTTAATCATAGCATTAATTTCATAAGTTGTAATTAAATTGTCATTGGGAGGTCAGAGATTTATACCCCGCATTGTTTATTTTCCTCAGAGAGTCCGAGAGAATCTGAGGATAGCATGGCGGAGCGGTCGGACGCACAGATCAGAGAGGACAGGGGGATAGATGGAACAGACGGAGTGGACCTGTCCTCCATTAACTCAATGATGGACACTGTGATGAAAGCAGCTCAGCTAAACGGGGGAGTGGAGGCGGCCTCCACCACTTCCACCAAGACCACCATCAAGAGCCCCAGCGCCAGCCGCAATGCCAGGAAGAACCAGGTATGTGTTAATAAACACACACACACACACACACACACACACATTATTACCATCTGCCTTTTTCATTGAGTAAATGTTCATCAACCAATAAATGGTCCTCAGTGACTTTGAATAAACTTATTACATCATTAACAAAATGAAGTTTGAAATCACTGTTCAAACATGGACATGACGGCCTCAGCTTACAGTCCTTTTCAACCGTGTTCTGAGAGGCCCGTACTCAAAGTGACCACATTTACTGAGGGAGCCCATACACTGACACACACAAAGCTTTGTACACTCACTCTCACAGATGCTCTCATTTGTCCATTTAAAATAAGCACTGGTGTACACCGCAGCCTGCCAGCAAGTTTCCAGCTGCCGCTGCACATAGCTGCATGTCCAATGTACTCAACAGATGCTCTCTGGCACACCACTGCCAGTCACATTCAGACATGTTCAGCAGCAAAGCAGTGCAGTTTGTTAGACTTTGAGGGAGTCGAATATTAAAACTTCTGTCATCAGAGATGATGTATGTCACTCAAAATAGGAGAAATAGGCTGCCATATTCAGACACACAAATACATTCTTGTCACCTTTCTATCAAAGTGTTGTCATTTTTAGAGAAGCATTGGAACAGGAAGGTCCAATCAAAGCAAACTGTCAGATTTGTAAAACATTGTTTTAAAGAGGTTGAGAATAGTGCTGTACATCATACTGGTACATCATCTATACCGTCATATTGATATGGGTGAGTGTTTTAGTTTTAGCACCATTGATGGACAACAGAAATGTATGTTAGTTCCTGAATAATTTAGTCTGCTTTTCAACAACAGTTCAAAATACACACTACTTATTACATTTCTATCTGATTAACCTTTTACAATACTGTCAAATTTTAAGAGAAGCAGAACAGAACGAATTAGTCCAGTCAAAACAATGTCAGGTTTGTAAGCAATTCTGAATACAAATTTAAGCATCATCTAATACTGTGATATATTTGGGTGATGTTGTGATACTGAATTTTATCAATACTACCCAGCAGTAGCAGAGAGTCATGTGTGTGGGTGCGCAGCACATGTGCCCTTTCCAGATTGAAAAGTCATCAGCCAGCCATACCTTACAGAGGAGACGACAGGATGGTAATAGTGCTGTTGTTTTTGTGCTGGTGCCTTGTGTGTACTGAATGTGTGACAGAGCTGGAGAGATATATGAGATGTCCGTAAGAATAGCAGCTTGGCAAAAGTCATACTTTTGATATGTGGCATTTGAGCGCAGCTAAACCAAAGGCCATATTTTATTAGGTCAGCTGGAGTGATGCAGTGGTTTGGTGTTGGATTGGTGGCAGGTGTGTGTATGTGTCTGTGTTGCCGTCAGTTTTCTGTGTGTGTATCAGCTGTAAGAGAGGACGGGATGGCGCAGGTGATGGAGCGTGTGTCCGTGCAGGCAGAGCGCGCTCCTGTGTTGAAAGAGAATGACACATGGTCCTCTGGCCCTCAATCCCCCTTTTGTCCGGGCAGCTAGCCGTCACATGGTTCCGATTAAAGCGTGCACTTCAGGCCTGTAGCTGCCCCGTGTAGGGTAGTAACAGGTGTCAGTTCTGACCCCTCAACACCCGCTTGGCCTGCCTCTACCCCCAAACTGACTACAAAGTCATCTTTTCTCCATGGCTGTGTTGCAGTTCTCAACTCCACCCTTTCATTTTTAACACATTTTCATTTTTAATCTGCTTTTCATGAAACAGAATCCGAATTTTGACTTAACTGCATTTTAAGTGCATTAAGTGCATTTTTTTAATGAGGTACATTTTAAAGAAGTCAATAGATCAGATTTACAATTACATACATATGTATATACACTACTGGACAAAAGTCAGAGAACAGTTTTCATGTATTCAATTATTAGTTCAGATAGAATTCATTGTTAATTTTTCCGCATCAGGAAAAAGCAGAAAATGTGTATTTAACAGAAAATTACGCAAAGCTTTAACAACTAAATATAATATTTAAATTTTCAGTGTTTAGTGTTCACTCTTTGCCCTTATTACAGCTTCCATTCTTTTCAGGAGACTTGCTTTCAGTTTTTCAAAGATATCAGCAGGAATATTTTTTCCACACCTCCAAAGTTCAGTCTTAGAAGTAGGTCGCATTTTGCTGCTTCTCATAACCCAAGTAACCCTATACACATACAGTGAAGTTGAGGTTTGGAATCTGGGCTGGTCAGTCCATTGTTCTGAGAACACCAGCAGCTTCTTTGTTTGATTTGTAAATGTTCATTTTCTTTTCTCAGTGAGGGCTTCTTGACAGCGATACATCCTTTCAGACTCGGTGTTGAGTTGACTTCTCACAGTGGAAGGATTTTTTTTTTATTACGCAAGTGGATTATTTTATATTTAATGTCCTAAGAACAATTTTTTTTCTGAAAGTTAATAACTTGTATTTAATAGCCATTTAGATTTGGAAAGCAAATAAATGAATGAAATAAAAGTCTCTGACTTTTGCACGGTGCTGCATGGAGATATGGAAACTTAGATTTCTATTTTATAGAGGAGAAGAACGTTTCCTGCAGCATATTTACGCTTTATCGTTGCTCGCGTGGGCGTCTATTGTAAGCTACAGTTTTATTTATTTATTCCTTCACCAGTTGTGTGTTGTAAAGATGATAATAGCTGCTATTCTTTCTGCTGAAGAAGTCCTACTTTCTCAGGCTTCTCTCTCTCTTTTGAGGAAACGGAAGCAGCTTATGGTGAGTTATGTAATTGGGTGGATTAACCCCACATAAGGCATAGAACTGCACTGATTAATGCAGCAGATGGACACTGCCGCAGTGGTAAATTAGCCCTGTAATGCTAATACAGGTGCACACTGACTGTTGACCTGTCTTAAGGCTCTAACAGTTCCCAGTTTACTTCCTGTGATGAGAGTCAAAGAAACAGAAGAGGAAAAAAGTCCTAATATCTGTTGTAGGGAACAAAACTAGAGTTTCCTAAACTAATCTTAGTGAATCTGAGGACTGGATTATGCTAAATCATCCTGGAATGGTCTCTGATATGTACAGGTCACCATGACTCATTGCAACTAGGTATTGCTGCAATGACGGATCACATAACAGATCGTCCTCAGCAGCAGCAGCACTGATGTCTAGGTGTATATTTTTGTTTTGTTTACCTCCCATGTAACACAGATTAAGTCTGACTTGATGATCCTTTATGTTTCTTCTAATCCTGAATTTATCCAGCCTAGCAGAAAACTTCCAGCTGGAGAAGAGGAAGTTTTCTTCCTGGAGATGTGTGTTTTTTTTTTTTTTTTATGCTTACGCTTCAGTGTGTTTCATAGATGTTTACTTTCCAAAACTATAAACTGAAGACCCAAACTATACAAATCAAACTTTGTTTCCAATTCATGTTATTTCCCCTCAGGAATTCTGTTGTTGTACAAATGGTACACACAAACATGAGGAACAGAGCCGTACTAAACACTGGTTATATAAATGTATTACATCGTCTGAAGCTGTATTTAGCAGATGTATCGCTATTTTGGCTCCAGCTTAGATGCATCACACCTTATACCTCCCATTTTCCTAGAGAATCATTAACCTGTCACTTATCCTAAGTTCAAACAGTGCACCTTGAAGCAGGCTGCATTTTGTGAGTCATAAAGTTAGATTCAGTAACTACTCAACATTGTGCCAACACAACTTACACCCATCTGGGTCAGTGACACGTAAGAGTTACAGTTCTGCTTCACGCTAGTCAGAACAGGGGCGTATTGCTTGTATAGCCATTTTTCAGACTTGTGAGACATGACAATGAATCTGAATAGCAGTGCTTATATCACAACATTATTATAGTAGCAGTGTCAAAAGAGAAAAATGACAAACTTGACTTCTAAGTCGTAGCATTTTGGTTGGCTAAGATTGTCAGTGGACTAATTTCATTTATTCCTTCATTATTTTATTTTCAGAAGAGAATTAAAGTAAAATATGTAGATCAGGTTCCCAGCCCTAGCCCTGGAGACCCCCCTGGTCTACACCTTATAAAGTGCTTTCCCTGCTTTAACACCCCCACCTCAACTCAGTAAGGGGTTGTTAAGGATTTGACTGGCTGGATCAGGTGTTTTGGGAGCAGGGGGTCTCCAGGACCAGAGTTGGAAAACATTGCTGTAGATATTTATACAAATGGACATTTGGACCATGTATCTAGCTGAATGGATGGATAGAAGGATGGATGAGCATAAGAATTGTACTAATTTAACAGAAAGTACTGTGTGTGTGTGTGTGCGTGTGTGTGTGTGTGTTTGTGTGTGTGTGTGTGTGTGTGTGGGGCACTGCTGATTGTTTTTATATGATATTCATTATCAAGTACTTAAAGTTTTCATACAATGTATCTATCTTTTTTTATCACCGCTTGTGTGGATGTTTTTTGCATCTGTTCTAAATTTTTTGTTTATATAATAAGAAATGCAAACTAATTGATCACCCCCACACACGTTGAGTAGTGCACATGATGCTGTGTGTGTGACGGAATGACGTGCAGTCTGGATGTGGCCTTGTGGGCCTGCAGTGTGAGCTGTGCAGAGCTACACACAAAGCTCAGAGTTAATGATCTGCTCTACTGTCAACACCAGTGGGAGGGAGCACATGGTGTTGGGTTACACTGATCTGCCACTCAAGGTGAAAGAGGAATGGACACACACAAACTCACACACTGGCTACTTACCTTCAGGATGCTCCTCATTCACGTTCACCATGAACAAATGAAAACTGCTCTCCAATAATTGTTTGAAACAGAAGAACAAATGTGTAATATAATCTAACATAACTAATATAATGCCAGGGTATACAGGATACAGGCAGACTTGCTGTTCAATCTAAGCCCACATTGATGAATAAAATATCTGGATTCATTTTGCAGACTTAAGACTGTGTCACACAGTAGAAACCAAGCCACCGAGTGACAATTCAAAGAGACAGAAGTGGTTAAGTTGCTAAACGTACTAGAGAGCAGAATATAGTTGAATGGATGAGAGGCCAAATCATACTCTCTTATTTATCAAGCTAAGTATTTTTTTAACCCAGTATCTTTCACATACAGTGAGTACTGACAAACCATTCAAGGTCAGAAGACAAGGCCTCAGTCCATGCCACCAGATGGGACTTTACCCACACGCGCCAAACTTTTGAACATTTTTGAACCAAACGGCACAAACAGCAGTAATGGGAGCATGAACAGCATAAATTACTGTAGCAGTAAACCTTCATTATTTATAATTTTTGGCTCCATCTTGTCAATCCGGTTTATACTAATATGGTTTTTATTTTTAATTCAAGATGCTGTTTTTACTGCACGATCATCCTCCTGTCTGAAATATTAAGTGATGGTTGGATGAGAATGGAACAACTCAGAGAATTCATTTTTTGATTCAATATGATACATTGGTGTCTCGATTCAGTGCATATTTTTGGATACAGCAAAAATAAGGAGTGGCTGAAAATGTATGCATTCAGCATTACGAAACTACAATATTTTAAACAAAAGTTGTGCTTCATATTGTCCCAATCAACACTCTAGCCACGACATGCTAGTTACAGATGCAACAGTGCGATATGCTGCAATACAATTTGATATAATACAATATGTTGTGATGTTACTTCACTAATGGCTCGATATTATAAGTGTAAAATATATTAGCATTTCATTTGTTACCTTTTTTTGGTATTAATCATTTGTATTTGCTTAATCGTGTACGTGTCCACTCTCCTTGTACTCCTTGTGTCAAAGGTCTCCATTGAGAATGTAGCGTTATGAGAATTGTGGGCAGATACTGATATCAGATATTTTTCGTGTGTGTGTGTGTGTGTGTGTGTGTGTGTGTGTGGGGGTTTATAAACATTTATAGAATGTAGAAATTGGGACTACATGTATCTGGATTAGCATTAGAGAGGAATATAACCATGATATTTAGGGGTTTATAAGCACAGTAAACTGAACAAAAGGCAGATATTTTTACATAACTGCTACAATAAATACGTCATCAGATTTCAGTTTGAAATATTAAATCTAAACATCTGTTTGGTACTTTTCAGCAATTATTTGCCAATATTAATGATTCTGACATTATTGTAATCTCTCTGTTTCAAATAAGAGACCACAAAGCAGGTTACACCGAAAAGGGACCAGGTATTTGGTTTATGTCATGTATGTTGTGTAATAAGATGTGTGGGATATTGTTTTTCACTTGTTGTTGTTGTTGTTGTGTGTGTTTGTTTTGTAGGAAGCCAAAGATAACAGCTCTTCTCTCATCTGTCCACTGTGTGACAAGAACTGTCAAACCCAGCACCAGCTTACGATGCATATTCGTCAGGTAACATGCGCACGCACACACATACACACACACACACGCACACACACACACATATGTATTGGTGCTTTAAGCAACACTTGAGATGCCATTAAATCTGTGGTTGTAATAAAAAATGTCTTTCTTTCTTTTTGTTACTCTTGTTCACTCCCTGCAGCATAACTCTGATACTGGAGCGACAGATCACTCCTGCAGTATCTGTGGAAAGTGCCTGAGCTCAGCCAGCTCTCTGGACCGTCACATGCTGGTGCATAGCGGCGAGAGGCCCTACAAATGCAGTGTATGTGCCCAGACCTTCACCACCAACGGCAACATGCACAGGTCAGCACTGGCTCTTCCTGGACATCTTGTGCCAAGATGGTAGTAGGATCTCTGTTAGGGAATTTTAAGTTAAATAAATACTCAGTAGGAAAAACAAATATATAAAAGGAATGTGCAGCAATATAAACAGAAGCTGTATATAAAGGTAAATAATATGATAATATTTAGCATCATAACAAATCATGTGACATTATGTCACAGTATGCTTTTCTCGTCCATACTTAAAGAACGCAGATTAGCTATTAAAGAGAGCATAATTAGGCCTGTGTAACTAGATTTAGTGCAGCAAAAAGTTCTTTGTACTCATAGTTTTGATAGCCTTTTTCTAAATTTGGCACTACAGGGGCTTTTTGTCTGTCCCAACTTATTTCCCACCTGTAGCTATAAACAAAGCACATGTAAAGTGTAGAGAAGATGATTGATAAATAAATAAATAAATAAATAGGCTTTAAAATTGTATGCAAAAGTGTAAGCAGTCCCTCTTAAACTGTTTTGTTGACTTCCTGAGCAAAAACAGGTCAACACATCCTCTGCATGGACAAACACAAATATGGAATTTCTGCAAGTTGGAGTGCAAAATTTCTATTTATTTGCTGAGTTCAATATATTGGAAAAAAAATAAAATGTAAAATATATCTACATATGTGCCATAACTTTTGAACAGGCCACATTTTGTTTTATTTTTTCCTATATGTTAAATTCAGCAAATAAAGAGTAGTCATGTATTAAAATGTGCAGACGTGTGTTCTCTGTAGAGGATGTATTAACTTACCTTCACTAAAAAAAAAAACATCAACAAACTATGTAATTTGACCAGGGGTGCCCTAACTTTTGCCCAAACATTCGCCCAATCATACAACTGTATAAATGGAACAAATACCAAATTTTTTCAGCTTACTATCTGCTGCTGCAACTGTATCATACAGTCATTTATCACAGGCAATCATTTTGATGTGTTTCGCTGTATTACGCAAGAGAAAAGAAAGTTCTCAATCACTCCTTTAAAATCAGGGCTGTAGGTCTGTCTATCTCAGAGGCCTTTCTAAGTCTAGGTGTCACTGAAGCATCCGTTTTTTTGTTTTTTTTTTTGGTTCTTCTTTTTGAGAGGCACAGCTCCTCAGCATTTCCATAAAAATAGCATTCCTATATTGATGGGAGCCACTGAGACAATTATGTGTTTTGGTGGCTGGGGACAGAGCCAAAAGCACACAAGTCTGAACACTGTATATGAATATTTGTGCAGGTGACTCATTTGTGGTGGTTAAGTAGGAGTTTGTTTGTGTGTGTTTGACAAAGAGAGAGCGAGATGTGAGTGCAGCAGCAGCTTCCAGACACCTGTGGCTCTCAGCTTCATGCTTAACTACCCAACAATAAGCTCCAATCCCAAGATTAGCAAAGACCATATATCCTGGTGCATTGAGAGTTTGTATGTATGTAAGAGGGATAGAGACGTGTTCCACTCTGAGACGAGTTAAATTCTCAGCGAGGTTCTCAGTGGCTCGTTTTTGTCAGGTTCAGATGCATTCGGTGGACATTGTGAAGAGACTGTAATCTCTAGTTCTTATGCTTCCTAATCCCACTACTGCAGAGCAGCACTGCTGCATGATTCTTCTAGCACATTTAATTGAGCTCAAGGCTTTAATTAGATGATGATGGAGCAGAGAAAAGTCACCTCCAGGATCGGGGAAACAAGCAGTGGACTGGGAATAACATTCAAAATGTTTAGCACTGTGGTAGATCGGTGTGTTTCTGTTTCTGTCTGCAGGCCACAAGAATGTAGTCTGGGCTGTCTACCATTAGATAGTTGCCACACATGCACACAGGACCAGAGCAGGACTGTAATGAGGAATTATATTACAAATCAGCCAATCTGCTGATTGTTCTGACCATTTGACAAGTAATTTGGGCTTTAAAAAAGGCCAAACAATAAAAATGGACTCAAATGAAACCATACATTGCCTTTCAAAGATACACTGGGACACCTTTGAAAAAAGTAGTATTTATTGTTATTGTGACAAATTACAACGCATAAATGTGCTTTTCTGCGCATACTATAGATATCAGTATCAACACAGTACATATTATAGATATCAATACATCAGTCAGTACTGAAACAACACTGACCAACCGCATGTGTAAATACAAAGAGAGCATAATTAGTGCTGTTGGAGTGGATTTAGTAATGTGACGCAGTTTGTGAAACGTTGAAGTATTGTATTCATAGTGGTTGAAACTACCTTTTTAAATGTGCCATTTTAATTTATGTAATCGAGTAACAGAACTTTAGTGGAGTAGTCGTGACTGCCCTAGACCCAAAATGTGACAGACTAAAAAGCCAGGTCTGTTTGCGCCAGAACAAATCAATAGCATTTTTATAATATTTCAAGAATCCCTTGAGGTAGGTCTTGTGTTGGTTCATCAGTTATATAGCCCAGACCTCGCCCTGATGCTGCTCTGCCTGCCTGAATGGGGGGGTTACAGATTCGACAAGTGTGCCACTGAGATAAATAGATGGGCGTTGGTGTGTATGTGGAGGTGCTCGTAACTGTGCACAGGATAGACAGTTTGTTGTGAAAGGAGGGAAGCCAGCAGGAAATGGGGGACGACTCTGAAGCCCTTCCCCCGTCTCTTTACTTTGTGGTATCTTCTACCAGCAGGTCGTGGTGGCAGAGGGGTAAATGTGAACATCCTCTCAGAGTTACAGGGCCTGAAGGTGTGAGGCATGAGTGGGGGGTCTAGAGGAACTGAGAAATGACTAATCTAGACCGTTATCTCCCCAGAAAAGACAAAAACAAATTCTAATCATACACAGAAAACAAGCGGTTAAACAAAAAATCTTGATCATAGACTTCGGCCTGTTTTCCTTAGCATACTGTTATGTTTATCGAGCAAGATAGCAAAGCATGGAAGCTGACATTAATGATCGGCCTGCATTACTTTGGTCAAAATTATTTAATGTAATTTAATTTAATTTACTTTCTTTTTTTTGGGTGGGGGGCATGTGAAAGTGCACAGCCTCACCTGGATTATCTGAGATTGGTCAGGATGCTCATAGCACACAGTAAAAAAGTACTATAAGCAATACCAGATGGTCCAAGTTTTTTGGCAACACCAAAAAGTTACTAAACAATAAATAATATACTGTCATTAACTATTTATAGTTATTTCTTGACAAGTTATCTGCCTATCTTTGATCATTACATTTCAAATACGAGTTATTCTGGATGTTAATTTGAATATAACCTTATTCTCAGTGTTATACAGCTTTCTCAGTGATTAAGGAATCATCTACAGCTCTGGTCATCATTCTGGACACACGTCTTAAGCTTAATACTAATCAGCTGAAATCTGTTGTAGAGTAGTAGCATCATAAAGACCTCATGATCCCAAACTGACTTCTGTTTCTGTCAGTGTTAACAGCCTATTTGAGCCTATTTGCACTAAAATCTTCCAAGTAGACAGCAAAGCACTTTGTTCTGGCTGATGCCATCAAGCCACGTGTGAATGTCACCTAAATGAAGAGTGCTGAAATATAAAGAAATGAGAGTGAGCAGTGAGCTTTTCAGTGTGAGGTTGTTGAGGTTGTTTAGTGTGAGCTCTTGCAGGTTAGCACATTTTGTATGGTGATGACTGATGAGTGGAGAATCTGGTCTGTCTACCTCTAAAACTCCTGCCCTCCTCTTTGTCTCTCTTCACAGTCTCCTCTTTCCTTTGCTCTGTGTTTGTCAGTGTTTCCAGGTGTAAGAATGTACCCTTTAATTTACGTTTTATGATCTACAGTTTCATTTAGGATGTAAACAACTTCATAAGCTATTGAAGCGTTTTTTGGAAAAAGAAATGTCCACACCTCATTGATAGAACTGTACAGGAGTTGACATCGTCAGGCTGTTGTTGGAGACCCTGATGCATGAGGAAGTTGTCTGTTGTTGGCAAGGAGGCAGCCATTTTGTGCCAAAGCATCACATGGAATGGGGGTAGGGAGGAGGGAGTCGCCATTGCCATGGAGCGAGAGAGATCACAACTCAGCACAGAGGAGAGCGCAGGGTCGCGAGCTGATTGGCTGCTTTTATTTGCTTTAACTCCTCCAGCACTGGTTGCACTGCTATACAGCCACAGGGCTCGAGGAGTGCCCTTGGTGTGACATAGCATTAAGAACTTTCAGACACTACAGCGCCCCCTGTCTTCGCACTGTGCTGCTGTGGTGGAATGCCATGGATTAGATGGAATGGACCTGTTAAAGCATCAACAAGTTTTATGGTCCTTTACAGATTAGCCAGCTGGCTCTCAAAATGTCTAAATAAACAGCCCGGATCCAAGGACAGGAAGGCGTTTGCAGCTGATAAAAATGGATTTATCTGAGTTTTTAATCTTAGGGAGTTCATCTCGGAGGGGAAGAAAGAAAGCACTTGTTAGTAAAGTCATTCAAATGGCAGCTTTATTAAGGTCATTCTTCTCTGAGACTAGCATATAAGTTAAGCAGTTAAGTACATTGTTATGTAGGTTGAACTCCTCATATGCTTGTATGAGCTCTTAGATGATCTCCATCCAATCATAGTTTGCTGACTTGTCAATGGAGGTGTGCTGCGATTGGTCAGGCCTGAGGTCAGAGTCCAGAGCAGCGGAATAGTCAGGTCCCCACATGGAAGGCCAGTTCACTGCCTGCTATTAATAAACTGACTGAAAGCCGAAACCCAGAGGACCAGAGCTGGCTGACCCCCCACCCCCCCACACACACATGAGTGTGCCTAATTTACAAACATGCAGTTACAAAGTGGCTGGACTGAAAGTCGAAGTGATGCACTAAAGTCAGAAAAGCAGCAGCTGATGCTTTCTGTGTCGTGAAAATAGTCTTATCAGTGTAGACCTGTTGCATAACAGTTCCATAAGCTTTGATCCTTTGCCCAAGTTGGCTTAGTTTAAATCTTTTCACCTCTCATTGGAGTGGAGCGTGGGAGATCTGTGTCGTTAGCGAGAAAAGAGAGAGATGTGGCTGTGGTATTGGGCAGGAACTGCCTCTACGCTGCTTTTCATTCACAACATCATTACTTTTAATCTTAGGATGCACATTTCCTGAACTCTGTTACTCTTTCATGTTTCCTGGCTACTAAGATGCAGAGGACTCTGGCCCTCTTCATGCAACGCTGCTCGTCCCTTTTGCAATGTTTTCCTTGAGGCCAGTCCCCTAGCCTCAGACTCCGATCCATGTAAGGGCATACACAGGCACTAGGATAATTGCAGGGTTTTTTAGCCCATTAGTGCTTTTCCTCTTCTTGCAATTTCCATCACTAAGCACACCAAAGGGATGCAGAGATACTTTTTGCAGTAACAGTCAGAGATAATCCATCCATCAATTATCCTGGCATTCCAAGCTTTTCCTAAACTAACAAACCACCCAGTGGTTCAGGTAGTTTATTTACAAATGATTAACTCTTGCTTTGAATGGGAGTTAGATTGCTCAGTGGTTGTGAATTCAATCCGTCTGAGTTAAAGGAATATTTAGGCAAAAAAAACAAATGTACACATGTACCCCAGATATAGTTGATCAGCTACGACTAGTTTGGTGTCCAAATTTTGCTTCTTTAATTTAGCGCTGGAGCTATAACGGCAACCTTGCTAACAAGCATGAGAAGTCAATAGAGACCCGAATATTTTCTGTAAATACATCCCCAAGAACGTCTCTCAACCCACAAGGTCTTTATTAAGGTCTAACAGACAGGCATTGTGGTTTAAGACACATTATGACTTACTGTGAACTATAAAAATGAACAAAACTTCACCATGTAACTGAATTCTGGCCTGTTGGGAATTCAACAACCCATGTCAAGAAGGTATGTGGATGCTACATTTCATTTGGGATTTCTGTTGCTTCTATTTAAAAACATATCTTCAGTTTGAAAATTGACAGTTATTTATAAATAGGAGCCACAGAAACTGTGAACATAACCTGTAGCATCCAGGTACCTGCGTGACCTGCATAGATGCGAAGGGGAGTCAGAATTCAGCACAACACCTGGTTGTCTCAGCATTCAGCTACATAGTTAAGTTTTATTCATTTTTCTATTTTAGGTCGTACTTTTATTTTTAATCTTTTTAATATTTTTAGTCATACTGTGTACTGAACCACACCTAAAAGTCTGTGCAACCTTAATGAAGAGCTGGATGTGGTTTTAGGGACGTATTTGTACAAAAGATTTGGGTGACTATTGACTTTTAGTGTTTGTTTGCAACATTAGCCTTGTAACTGCAGTGCTAAACTAAAAGCAAAAGTTGGACACAAAACATGTATCGTTTGGCCGATTGATTACGTGTGGGTAAGTGGAACATTCTGTAAATTTGATTTTTTTTTTTTTTTGTTGATGCATTTTTCCAAGGTAAAATGTCAAGTACAGTGCAATGTTCTTGTTCAGCAAAACTAATGATTGTTGTTATTTTAGGTTCCCTAAAAAATGAGGCATGTTAATAGCGTCAGTAATTACACTTTAAAGTGGTTGTTCTGCACTTACATTGATAAAAGTTCTGCCATCTGTGTTTATTCACAGGCACATGAAGATCCATGATAAAGACACAGCAATCTCCATTCCCACCAGCCCTCCATCACCGATCAAACGGAGACGCTCTTCTGCCGTGAAGAGGAAACCCAGCCATGATGACGATGGAGAGCGAACCGAAGAGCCCGCCAGCAAAAGGGTCAGACTTCTGTCACATGACGTTATTTTTGCTATGATGAAATTAGCCTGTATTTATCAGCATCTTGGAGTAGATGAACTGACTAGCAATCAGTATCAGTTAAAAAGCAAAACAAGTCCTGTATTTTTTTTTGGGGGGGGTATAAATATTAGTCATTACTGGTGTGAGTACTCAGCGTTCAGAGGATACTGGAGTTTGGCAGAATGTGTTTGGAGAAGTTTTGTGGTTGCAGTGGTGCTTAAAGGCAACATTATGGCAGCCATGCATTGTGACACTTGTTTATTATGGTTACTGTTTCATTCAGCCAAAAAAAGGACATTCCTCCCATTCTAATACCCACAAACTTCACTGTTTGTACCCAAGGAAAGTGTTTTTGCAGTCAGTTATGTATGGCTGATGGGTTGTTTGTGTTGCAGGTTGTGGAAGACAGTGGAGTGGATGAGCAGGCACCGAGTAAAGGGCAAGAGGAGCTACTGCCATGCCCCATTTGCTTCAAGACCTTCAACACCAAAAATGACCTAGAGGCCCATATGGACACCCATCCTGACACTACACTCAGGTTTGTACAACGCCTGCAAACACAAAGGCATATACACACAGGCAGTTTAGGCCTATTACTAATAAACTGAGAGCCCATTTGAAACACACTGAATGACAAAAGGTTTGTATGTATCTATGATCAACAACAAAAATCCTTCGCCAGATTTTCCATGTTGCTAGGTAGGCCTGTCGGACATTGTGGATGTCCATTATGCTAGGGCAGTTGTCTCTTTGTTTGATGTGAGAGCTGTGTTGCCAGGGGACACGAGAGGCTGGGGCTTTGGGCTGGACCGCTGCTGTTGCTGGGAGATTATGGTGGCATTCTTTGTGCTGAAACAGTCATAATTTAACACATCCGAGCAGAGAGTGGCCGCGTCCTCTGGCATACCAATTGGGCTTTTGTTTCAAGGGCTTGTATGTATCATGGTGTGCTATAGGTGCAAAGTGTAAAGTTTTACAGTTGGAACATTTAGTACATTTTTTCCAGTATGTTACACTGAAGTAAACTCAAGTAAATAGAAATTTTGCACTAAAATTTGCAGGTCCATGTAGAGGATGTGTTAAGTTATTTACTCTTAGTTCAACAAAACATGTTATTTAATTGGAGGTGTTTAATACAACCACTGTCCAAAAAAAAGTGCATCTCCATTTTTTTTTTTTTTTTCAATTTTTTTATATTTTGATGTCATGTGAGCTGTTGTAAAGCTGTACTTTTTACATCGTGTAAAAACTTCATGATGAATGGACCAATAGAAGTGCTCTAAAATTACTTGGAATAAAATTTCTTTACATTAACTTACATTAAAAGTTCTCCCATAAAGTTAACATTTTGGAGAAGCATGTTTGTTTTGGAGAGTGACGATATACTTTTTCCCAAGGACTTGTAGTGTCCTTAGTGGCTGTATGAAGTACACACCTTTTGAAAAGGAACTGTTGAAGCTAAGCAGCATGTGCAATAGTTTAAACTCCAGAGTCTCTGTGGGTCACTTTGTGAAGTTACCCATGAAACGTTTGGATGGCAGACGGTCATTCCTGGGTGATTTATAAAGGTGTTTGTCTCTATGCGCTCTCAGTCATGAAGTTTAACGGATTCATCCCCTCCCCTCATTTGGCCCCCCAGGCGCCAAACTACGGAGTAGCATGGAGAAGAGAGAGGGAGGAAATCGGGGAGGAAAAGAGGAGGGAGGGGGGAAAAGTACCACAGAGCATAGAGGTTGTGTGTGTGTGTGTGTGTGTGTGTGTGTGGTGAGGGGATTTAATGAGTCACAGAAGGAGGCTTCAGGACGCAGTCTGCTAGACCTCTCTGTTGGGGGGTGGGGGTGCCGTATCCTTGGAGACATCACAGTCCGCAGTCTCCTGCCCTAAAACCGCTCATGCAGTGGCCAACTTCTCCAACTGTAGTTAATGGGTAATGGGTAGCTGCACAGAGTTGGTCCTTGCTGAAGTGAGCTAGTGGTGCTTGGCCTATTCGGTTTCACAGCGCCGTTATTGTTGTATGGAAGTACAGCAAATTTAGCACTAATCCTGTGTAATCACAAGAGCTAAGAGAGCTAGTTAAGAGGATCTAGGCTGCTGTGAATTGGGTTCCACTGTGCAGAGTTCTTCTTAATGCAGCAGAGTGTAGTGCAGAAGCGTGCAGATACAGGGATGCTCAAATGACGTAGACGTGTTATCTGTTCCATGCAAACATATACTAATACAGGGTCACTCCCAGTTACACACTGCAACGCGCCCACCCGCATGCACAGAAGCACCTCCTAATAATGAGAGTTAGCATTCTGGTCACATGAGACTCCCTGTGGGGGATGAAGACATCCAGCCCGCTCCCTAAACCTTGTCAGTTAACACACTGTTTTGCCGTCACTAATAAACAATCAGAGCGTTCAGAAAAATGTACACCAAAGATTGCAAACTAGACCCAAGACTGTAAACACAAAAACACAGGTTGTCTTGTTGGCCAGACCACAGTGTTTTGTGTGAGCGTGTGTGTGTGCGCTGAGATAAAGCTGCTTACGGTCACCGCAGACACCTCAGCACGGTGGTGAGGGGCAGGGCTTGTTGATAAGGGCTGTGTGCAGCGCCAAAGACACTAGCCAGCTGTCTCTCTCTTGGCCTGACAAACAGACAGGGAGAACCGCCGTAGTCCTAGCAAGAGTTATCTACCACCCACCAACACTCGTACTTGCTGAAGGAAGCCCCCCACCTTCACAGCTGCACAGTTAACATGGAACTTTCATATATATTTGTTTTTAACATTTTCAGTAGACTTGTCACAATCATGAAGTTTTAGTTGCCAATTAATTGTCATATAAATAATTGCAATTTACGATTAAATGGTCTTTTTTAATTGTGTGCAACTATTCAAGTACTAAAGCAGCTAAATTGGCTGTTTAGCCATTGTTTCCCAGCTGTCTTTACTTTGCAGTGTGCATCAACCAAGCTACTGAAAAAACAGTTCACGAAACATTATAGCACCCAGTTAAAAGTTAGAATTTAAAGTTGGAACAAGAAAACGTGACCTGCTTTCTGATATTTACATTTGTCTCAGGTCAACAAATGAAAATACATTCATCTCACATGTTTGTTGCAATACATTCTACAATCTAATGACTGTGGAAAATGATTGCAGCCAGTTTAAATAATTGACATCATCTCAAGTAATTGCAATCAGGATATTATGTAAACTGATCTGAAATATCTCACTGTCTGAATAAAATTATCTGGCTTAGAATCAGTGTTTATTTTGCTTCAGCATAAAGCTTGTCTTGGTTGAGGGCCATGTCTTAAAATGTGTTATTACCCCCAGGTGTGAGCTCTGCTGTATCTCATTTCGGACACATCGAGGTTTTCTTCGGCACAATGCGGCCATCCATAAGCAGCTGCCAACTGACCCCAATGGACGCCCCTTTATTCAGAACAACCCCTCCATACCCCTTGGCTTTAATGACCTAGCCTTTATTGACTTTTCCTGCCGCAAGTTCCCTCACATTGCCCAGGTAAGTATCTGCAAGCGAACCTAGTCTTCAGACATTAGATCAATCCCCTACCTTGTTTAGCTCTTGTCTTGAAATATTGATGCAATAATAGTCCACATTTACTGTGAATGTTTAGTGTTGATATTTCTTTTTTTGTTTCAATCAATAGGTTTGGTGTGAAACCAACTTACGTCGCTCCACCAGCAAGGTTCACAGCTTTGTGTGTGAGACCTGTGACAAAGCTTTCCCTTTGCACTCAGCTCTAGACCTGCACAAGTCCACACATGAGACTTCTGAAGGCACTCAAGAGTCTGTTTCTCCCCAGCCCTCTAGTGTTGAGCCTCCTGCGTCAGAAAAAATAAATTTTATGGATTCTTTGGGTTTGCAGCACATCTCTCAGGTCAAACCTGTACCATCAGAAGAGGACATTTTTCAGGCAGTGTTGGATAGCATCCGAGTCATCCATGTGGAGCCATCATCAGCCCAGCAGGAGGCTGGCTTACTTGGTGGACTTGGCCTGTCACTCGTGGATCCATGCTCTCTTCGGGGTCTCTCCCAGCGTGAGGCTCTTAAACTCCTATCCCTACAGCCCTTCCAGACTGGTTTTCTTGTTCAGCCGGATGGCGGGATGGTAGTAAAGCCAGTAAGTGAGACTGGAGTGGAACTAGCTGACATACAGCAGATACTCAGAGTGGCCTCTGCTGCCCCAAAGCAGATCAGCCTCCCACCCTTGTCCAAGGCACCGTGCAGTGCAATGCAGACAGGCTATAAGCAGATGCCCCCACTCAAACCAAAGCCCCTGGTGGCTCCCAGGACCAACATGGCAGCCTCGACCCCTCCTCCCCTTGTGAGCACCCAGCAGGCGTCACTAGGCTGCATAAGCCCCAGCTTACCACCCCCTGCTGCCCATCCCCTGAAAGCTGGCAAGGAATTGCCACCGTCCTCGTCCTCATCATCATCTACTGGCAACCAGGCATCAATGGAAAGAATGCACATGGAGGCAGAGTGCATGGGTGATGCCCACACTCCTATGGATGTGGATGAACAACAGATCAAGCAGGAAGATGACAAGACAGGACAAGAGACCTCTGGAAAGAAGGGAGCAGCTCGCAAAGGCTCTTACCCATGCCGGCTTTGCGACCAGGTATTTGCATATTCTGGGGTTCTGCAGGCACACATGCGCTATCACCTGGGCATCTTGCCCCACCAGTGCAATATCTGTGACTACGTAGCTCCTGACAAAGCCACGCTGATTCGTCATCTGCGGACCCACAGTGGAGAGCGGCCTTACGTCTGCCGTGTCTGCCATTACCCGTTTACCGTTAAGGCCAATTGTGAGCGTCATCTTCGCAAGAAGCACATGAAGAACACTCGTAAGGAGATAGAGAAAAATATAAAGTATGTTACATCCACTTCCACACCTGATGCATTGGACCAGGCAGGTTCAGGTGACACTACGTGCCGAGTCTGCGGCGAGGACCTAAAGACGTACCGAGCACTACAAATCCACCTGCGTACTCATAACGGTTTCCAGCGGAAGCCATTTGAGTGTAAACGTTGTGGAGCAGCCTTCCTGGCCAAACGGAACTGTATCCACCACCTGCTTAAACAACACCCAGAGGTCCAAGAGCAGGACATAGAAGATCACATAGCCACTGCTCCATCTCAGACCAGTCCTAATCCCTCTCCACACAATGGAGTATCACCAAGCGCTCCTGTGCATCCCATTAAAGTGGAGGACCTAAGCTTCTACAGTACAGATCCAGAACAACCACTAGACTTCTCAAATAAAAGCAGAGGAGGGAGCAGCGCTGGAAGCACGGGTGGCTCTCCTGGGATCAAGATGGAGGCTGCCTCTTACGACAGTTCCATGGAGCCCATTGATCTCTCCATTCCCAAGAATCCAGAGAAGAAGATTAAGGGAGAGACTGATGCCACGTTGCGAAAGGAAGTTAAAAAGGAGCAGCCATGCCTCAACACTCTTGCCCAGGGCCTCCAGGCAGTTAAGCCCAGTGACGAGAAGTCCCAGCAGTTTGGTTGCTACCAGCTTCCGGTTGCTTTGACCACTGTCAGTGCAGTTAGCGCAACAGGTCGAGCTTCGCGGCTAAAGCCCCTGCTTCCTAAACCCACTGTTGCCGGTGTGAAGGAGCTACCACCATTGGCCTCCATCGCCCAGATCATCTCTTCCGTCTCTGGTGCTCCTGACCTCCTGAAACGGGAAAGCCCTAACAACTATCCGCCTAGTTCCGATTCGTCCTGTAAACAGGAGGTCATAGACTCCTCAGTAGAGGAGCTTCCCCTAGAGGTCTCCAAGAAGGCATGCAAGAAAAGGCCAGCCATCAACACAGGGAAGGAAAAGTCTGTGATGAATATGACAGACACCAGTATTGACCTAGAGTCCAGCGGTGAGTTTGCCAGTGTAGAGAAGATGCTGGCAACTTCTAATGCCAACAAGTTTAGCACATACTTGCAGACCAACCCAATTGAGGTAGGAAGGAAAGAAGAACAACCTTGTGTGAGTGATAGGAAAGAGGCTAAAGATGAAAAACAGCTGCCAGCTAAGCAGACCCCACAGTCCCAGCAGTCCAAAGGGAAAAAGAATGCGTACTCAAACTCTGTGCAAAAGATGACCTGCCCTTTCTGTCCCAGAGTCTTTCCATGGGCCAGCTCTCTCCAACGCCATATGCTGACGCACACAGGTAAGATATAGCAGAGCTCTTTCATAAGTTTTACTAACGTCTGTATAATGTAGAAATATATATAAAAATATTGCATTTCCATGTGTGCTATAGGTCAGAAGCCATACCCCTGCCCCAAATGTGAAGCCCTGTTCTCAACCAAGTCCAACTGTGAGCGCCATCTTTTGCGCAAACATGGCGTAACCAACAGAATCCTCCGACATAATGGTGCCATACCCAAACCCAAGGAGCCAGAGGAGGGCTCACAAGAGAGTGCAGGTAACAATGATATTTTAATCAAGTCACATCACAATTTGGTATAAACGTTGTGTAGAATTAATAACAGTGCATTGTGTGATGGATTACTCCGCCATAATTATGATGAGCAGTGACTCAATGCAACTAGTCAGCGATCTTTAAATGAAACAAAATAATTGTGTGATAATGGAAATCAGTGCAGTGTTTGATAACATACTATAATCTCTGAAGGTGCTAAGTAGTATTTACTATTAGATCTTGGAAAAATAGACACTATAATTGTAGTCTGTGAAATCTAAAATTTGCTCTCTACATGCTTTATAGATATAATTTAGTTTCAGATACAGTAGTTGAGGTTATAGTGTAAAGTAAAGATATGTATTATTTAGTATTCATTTAGTAATATTTTATTCATTTATTATATTCTTTTTTTTTAGCAAGTATCGTAAGTATGACTTGATATATAACATGGTTTAGCAAACCTTTGTGTGTTGTAGAGAGCATGTCTGAGACCGAGCTCCCTAGTGGTGAAGCTGTGGATCTTACAAACTCGAGACCTGAAAAGCTGACCGCATCTGATGCTGAGAAACCCTCCCCAGCCAAGCCGACAGAAGCAGCTGTAGTAAAACCCCTTGTCCACCAGGGGGAGTCAGATACTGAGCCAGGGGAGAGAACAACCATAGAGAATGATGATGATGATTCCCACAGCAATAAGAGCTTGGACCTGAACTTTGCCTGCAAACTGATCGACTTCAAGTTCTCTGAAGGGGAACAGCCACAGTCCTCTTCTGCTGTGGATGCCGATTCACACGAACGAGCAACACCACTGGACGAGTCCAAGCTGACCTGCAAGAACTGCAACAAGAGCTTCCGTTACGCTGCCACTCTCGCAAGACATGAAAAAGTTCACCTGCTGGAAAGCATTGCCGACACACCTAATGTGAACTCCAAAGCCGCTGAGGCAGCCGAGTCTTGCGAACTGAAGAAAGAAGAAGTAGAACAGGATGTGGAGAAAGAGGAGCAAAAGGGGACCGCGGAGAGTGAAGGAGCAGGTAGTGCAATGGACAGTGGCTCTGAGGAGGACAAGGAGGAGAGGAGTGACGAAGAGGGAGGTGCAGCTGAACCAAAGAGTGGTGACGGTGAGCCTGGGCCATCCGGAAACAAAACTGACAAGAGGAAGAAAATATGCAGTGTTTGTAGCAAACGCTTCTGGAGCCTTCAGGACCTGACGAGACACATGCGCTCTCACACAGGTGAGAAAGGCAGAACCTTTTCTGGTAATAAATTGCTCTAAAAATAAAGGTGCCAAAAGGAGTTTCTTGTGCCACAATCATCATTGCCTCAAACTGTTAAATTGATCTTAAATAGACTTACTTATGTGGTTTTTGACACTTTGTTCTGTATCAAAACTAAAAACAACACTTTTATAGATTAACAGTCTGTTTTTACGTGTAACATACAGTGTCAGAAACCACAAAGCCTAATCGGCGCTTTCAAAAGTGGCTCATTTTCTTTTTTGATGTACAGAAAACCAATCAATATTCTGATGGCTTCATTCTCTTGTGTTTACTAGGTGAACGGCCATACAAGTGTCAAACCTGCGAGCGCACGTTCACCCTGAAACACAGCTTGGTCAGGCACCAGCGGATCCACCAGAAGCCCCGTGGGACAGATGAAGAGGGCTCAATGGGTGGGGTCACGGGTAGAGCTGGGGACGAGGAGGGATTCAGCGGCCCGTCGGCAAGCGAGGGAGAATGCACCCCTACCAGCACCAACCCTCCTTCTGAGAATGAAAGTGAAGGCATGGAAAACATTAAGGAGGGTCCATGCTCACAGGAGAATGATGTTGAGTCTGCCCCTGCAGCTAAGGAACCAGAAGTACTGAAGAAGGGACGTGAAAGAGAAGATGCTTCTGTGACAAAGAAGGCAGAACCTGAACCGCCAGCAGAGAACCTCCAACCCAAAGAACCGCCAACAGAAGAGCAACCTACAAAGTCGCCCACCACCATCACAGCATTAGAGCAGCCGGAGGGATTCCTACAAGGCCTGTTGGAGATACACTCCAAGCCCAACATTGAGCACATCATTTCCACCAGTGAGCCCCCAATACTGGGGGTAGAGTGAAGACCCTCTTTTCTCCTGTGCCCTCTGGCGGTAATGCAGCGCACTCCAGAGGCTGTGCCATACAATTAAAGTACATTTGTGATACAAAATGTTTTTAAAAAAGAAACAAAGATGAACTTTTCCAAGTGCCTTTCTACTTTTTGCTATATCTTTATCTACTACCAGATGATCTAGTTGATTTAGAGTATTTTATAAAGATTATTTTTTTTGCAATCCTGAGTGAAATCGCATTAAGCAATAAATAAACAATTTAGCATAATGATTTGTATGATTGACTGAATAGAGAATGGTCATATTATATGGTGAACCAGCAGAGGCTGAAAACAAGCTACTGAGACTACTATGTCAAGGCTTGTGCATGCGAGCATAACTGGAATACGTTGAACAACCTTAGCTTACTCTTCAAAAGGCTGTTTCACGGACTCAGTTGCACCCTTTAGTTTCTTCAATGATAGAAAGGCCTCCAGAGTATCTAAAACTGATGAACTGTATTATGCTTTTTTGTATTTTGTAATGGGGGGCGCATAGAGTTGCAGAGGCTTCGGGCAGGAAAGGCAAAGCTGCAACCAGACATTGTGGATTGCCCTCCACAGAGCGGTGTGCAAGAACTTTTTCTTCGTAAAAAGTATATGGGCAATATTTGCCTGGAGTATCATGAATCTCACAGCTACGCTGACCGTGTCAGACATCCTGTTTGAACCTTCAGTTTTTGGAAGAAAGTGAAGGACAGGAGTTTTTACTGAGGGAACTGCAGTGTTTTTAATGGAAAGGGCTTGAGAATTGCTTTCCCTCTTAACCAAGAAACCAGTATCACCAACAAAAACCAAGGCCCACATGAACAGATCTAATGTATCTGACAAAAAAAAAAGATGGTAGGGTCCTATGTCCAGGTTTAATGTCTTCCAAAACCCTTCTACTTTAAGCCTTACTAGTGTTTCTTCATAGTTTTTTAGGTAGGCCTATTTCAGCCTGTTGGACAAACACTAGTCTGTATTTTCTTTTTCCATTGACTTGTACTTGAAAACTGTCACCCTGCTGCCTCCTAGTTTTGGATATGGCGCCAGTTGCGGGTCCATCAACCTTCTGAGCTCCTCTCCTGGTAGGATCTCAAGTCAATCACATTAGCATTTCTGGTGTTGGGTATATAAATAGATATATATGTGTATTTTCTTTCTCTTCTCTCGATTGTGTGAACCTCAGACTCAAACAAAGCAAACCTCAAAAGGCATGGAGACTAGAAACGCCAGTGGACTGTTAGTCATGATGGACAAGTCTCCTGTTTTCCGGACCAGCCATCAGCTGACTGGATGATTCCCACTGACTGGTGTGTAACGACAGGATATTATGGATAACGTAAAGTTTGTGGTGATGGGCAGCATGAAATAGAGTATTAACAAGCGAGGCTTTTTTGGGTAAGTGATGGGGAAACAAGTATGGATGTCGTATTTCCTTACCATGGAGAGGCACTGCCCTCTAGTGGTGAACACTAGTATTTCCCCAACTCTGTTTGTCAGGCACAAGGCTAGTATTGAACTTGAATGAAAAATGCAATCGCTTTCTCAATCTGTATATTGAATTCTGGGACTCAGCTTCTCCTAATGCCTTTTCCTGGGTTGGTGTGTGTGTGAGAATGTGCTGCGTGTGTATACATGCGCTCGGGTGTGTGTATGTGTGTAGGGATTTCTGTTGAGAATGCACACAGACTGTTTTAAATGTATTTATTGTAGCCCAGTGTGGGTAAAGAAGTAAACCGTGGAGAAGCCATGTGTATTAACGCGATTATGCTGCAGAGAGAAATGATTCAGATTCAATACATAGTGCCCCAGCTTAGAACTGGGTGTTTCCTAGCAATAATCACTATTGATCCAAAAGCTTTATGTAGATGTTTGTATGTGTTTTATAGACTGTGTGGTCTTTTTTTTCCATTTTTTTTTCTTTTTTTGCCATCATTATCACTATTATATCAGTTTGGCTGAGAGATATGAATTCTGTTTTCTTTGATTATATATTGCATATAAAACTGTGAAATTTGTTATTCTGCTATGGGTGAATCTTTAGGGTAGTTTTGCATGTTAACCTTTTTATGTTTAATTATGGGTGTTCTTTTTTTTCCTGTTCCCCCTCCCACACTGTCTTGCTCTCAGGGTTTTTACAAAATGCTTATTCAAAATTATTTTTTTTTCTTCCTGAGTTGCAAAAATTCTCCCTGACTTTTGATTACTTTTTATTTTTGAACAAGTCGATCTGTCAATCACTACTTTTAGCACTTGACTGTGAATTAAAACGAGTGGGGAAGGATTCACTGAATCCAAGCAAACCCACATTCCTCTCATCTTGCTTTTTTTTCCATGTTTCTCCAGTCTTTTTTTCCACACTCCTGGTTCCTTCTCTGTCACTTCCTCATGAGAAAAAGAAACTAAAACGATATCTAGGCTGGCCTACAAAATGGCAGATTTGTCACTGTCTGAAGTTCTGACCGATATCAAAGGGAGCTTTGCATCGCTGCTACACACACACACACACAAACACATATAGACACATACACACAATAATTGTACTGGACTTGAACGGAACCAGCATCATCAGAGAGTATTTTGGTACACTACTCCTGTTCTTCAAATGAGTGCTTCAGAATCAGAGATGTAAGCTGTTCTATATCAAAACTATTAAAGCAATAAAGTCCTATTAAAATAATACGAAAGTCTGTTTTTTTTTTTTAAATCTCTTCTCAAATGCACCCCTCACCCCCCTTTTTTATTGTTATCTGTAGGCAACAAGCATGTAAAGCATGAACAGGACAAACTTTGCTGAAATATTCCTAGTCCAATTATGTTTATAGTAATTAAGCCTTAGTAAGGAACTGATCATTACAGTGATTGTCATCAACTTTAATACAAAAAAGAACGTAATATTTGTCAGTGCACTATATATACAGTACATGTGTACAGCAAATATTTACTCAGTGGTATGTGGAAAAACATTTTTAGCCATTCACTTCCCACAGGGCCAGTGGGCTTATGCAGAAAATCTGAAAAATCCCCTATCATGCAGTCGTTAAAAATTCAGAGTGATTGGATGTGAAATGGTTCATTGCAGAGAAACTTGCAGACTATGATATCCTTACAGGGGTCGTGATGTCTACCGCTGAAATACAGCCATTTTATTCACTTTATTAATTTACCAAAATGACCAGTGAACCTATATGTCTGAGTTTTTATTTGCAAAAAAGTCATCTTTGGGACTATTTTGCCTCATGACGCCCTGCATGTACCTCTCCACCGAAGCTTTGACCTAATGGCGCCAAGCAACATGTTTATAACCATTTCTATAATGGCCTCCTGTGACGTAGCTCTTAGATGCATTAGACGTCTGGTTCCTATCACCACCACTGCGAACAACTGTGACTTAAGTTTCTCTAGAACAGAGCAATTTACACACTCACTCTGAATGACTGTTTACATCTCACTGATCAAATTATGCATCAGTGTAATGCGCCATTAAGGGATCTGCTCTGGCTGTATCATCTGAAGAGGGTAGAAAAAAACAAGCTGTAATCTCAGGACTGGTTTGTAAATAATGTTTAAATCTTTATTGTGGTTAATCTTAAAGCTGTCCAACAAGCGCACAATTATTTTCATTTTAAAAACTTCAGGTTTCAGACTGTTTGGTTTAACTTTGGAGCTGTCTTCTTAGGTCAGTGGTCTCCAGCCCTCGTCCTGGAGAACTACCTTCTTGTAGAGTTTGGTTTCAACCTGTATCCAACAAGCTGCCCCACCCCTTACTTAACTCTAATGCATCTGATCCAGCCAATCAGGTGCAGAAAATTGTGGATGGAACTAGGCTCTGCAGGAAGGTAGCTCTCCAGGACCAGGGTTGGAGACCACTGACTTAGGTGTTTACTTATTATAAATTTTAGTTTGCGAGTTTGGAAGAGGGGAGAGTACTCTCAGAACTTGGCCTGGAGTCCAGAGCAGCTTCTGCTATAAGCTAGAAGGCCCCCCAGTTAATTAAGCTATTTTCTGGGGGTCCCACTTTATAATGTATTTCTAATAACTGTGTAGTTAGACATGAACAATACATGAAACAACAATATCATTAATGGTAATGTATTTATTGTTACAGATTACAGAAGTACAGTTTATGTAAATGTGTATCATTTCAGTTTTTGAATTTGTGTAACTACACAAGCATATAATCATAGTTGTAACAGCATATTGTCTCCTTTGTAATTACACATGTACAACAGAGTGAAAGTAATTACATTTGTATGAACTGCTGTTTTTGCCAACTAAACTTCTGACTGTAACTGAAAGTGTGTAAGTTCATGTGTAGTTAGTTATGTGGGTACACTGAATTTACAGATTACTAATCCAGATATTTGGGGTAGTATAATACAACACACATTAATTAATTAATGTTAATGAATGAAAATGCATTAAAAATACTGCCATGTTGCAAAATGGTTTAAAATGGCTTAAAGCCAGAACTGTGGTCATGTTACTAAATCAACACATGCTTAGCTAGCTAGCTACATGCTAGGAAAGTTGGCATTTCCTGTGCAGATGCAGCAGAAGTGCTCTCATAATGTAGGCAATTAAACACCTCCTGTTACAATAAGAAAAGTTTTGTTGGAAAAACAGCAGGTCATACAGATGTAATTATCCTCATCCTATTACACGTGTAATTACATAAGAGAAAACATGCTGTTGCAATTATCAAGATACACTTGTGTAATGACATGAATACAAAAAGTTCATACATGTGTATTTACATAAGCTGTACTTCTGTAACCCATCTGTGAGTGAACACATCACCAGTAGTTACACTGTTGATGTAAAGTGGAACCAAGAAAACAACTCTATAATAAAATAAACGGTTAGGATAATTATCATTAAGTTAAACATGGTCACACTTTATGTTCTAGCATATTGTAAAAATCTTCTCTTTGATTAAAGTATTGTTTCGTTTTCATTCATTTCATTTGTTTTATTTGGTAATACTTGCTCTTGTGGGCACAAACTATACATGTACAAACTATGTCCTATGAATAATGTTCCAATCTCTAATAAATGGCCAATGTATTCTACCAAAATTCTCCCCTTACAGTTAAACTGGACGGTCCTAATCTTGGGTAAAGATTATGTAAGCGTTACCCTCACCAATCACAGGACCAACATGGCTTGTCCTGTCCACACAGCTTTAACAAAACTGTGTTTCCCCATGATCTCCCCCTGTTCAATCAGAGAAACCTACAGAGAGAGAAAGCTTACTGCGGAGTGAAAGCTAACCCAGCAGGCAAAACTGAACTATTCAGCTAGGCCAACTGTTTGTCTGTCTGCCTGTCGTTCGCTCGTTCAACTGGCCACACCAGCGTTCCCTGGATGCACATCCAGCAGGAAAGTGAATAAGAACCTGACTTTCTTCACCATATAAAAGCTGAATAGTGTTGTTGTGAGCTATGGTTACAGTGGGGATAATCTACAACACCACCTGCATATGTAGAGTCTTCAGTGGCCTAGCAGGCCTGGAGTGCTGGACTGAAGGACGTCCTTCACTTAACATGAGGGATCAATGACGGATTAATTGTCAAAGCAATGATTCTCGTTTACTTTCTATTTGTGATTCATTTTAAATATGTTATTCGGGAACCATGGTAAGTAAATACCATCGATGCTCACTCAGTAGAGCAACTCCAGACTCAGACTGGCTGGACTGAGCACACTTCTCTTCACTCAGGGTGACGTGCTGATATACAACCAATGCATACCTCTTCTCATCTACTAAATCCAGTTCCTTCATCACTTTTTGGCACAGGATAATGCAAATTGTCTAAGTAACTGTCCATACTTATTTCTTCAGCAGCTTCAGGCTTTGCGATTGGCTAAGTGGGGCTGAACCAACTTTAACTTCAGGGTCTTCCAAATGCTTTTTCATGTTTATAATTCTGTTTTATTTGCCAGTATATACCATGTGCTACTTTTGTAATAATAAAACATTACACTGAGAGTATACATAAAACATGTATCAGGACAGAAATGGTTGAAAACAGATGTGTGAAGGTTCAGTGAACAGTCTGCAGTGTCGTGTGTCACACAGAAATATGTACAGTATCGTTACTGGTGTCTGGTTTTAGGAGGAAGGAAGAATCACCGTAACAAAAGTTCATTATATTGCTGGTGGATGGTGGGGAAGATCACAGTAGTGTAGAGAAGATGTAACAGATTATGAACTGCTTGTTTTCAAAATTTCAAACACTAATGACGGCTGTCTCTGGTTTTGGTCTTAAGGTAATCCACATATGAGATGTTTCTCTACCATGCGGCTCAACCTAGCGTAATGTGTTGAGGTGGGACGTGTTTGGAGAAGGTGTGAAATACCTTCTTCTCATTGCAGTGCTGGTTTGTACTCACTTGCAAAAGGGTGAAAGTATTCCTCAGACAACACTGGAAATGGAATTTCAATAATGAAGCTCTGCCAGGATGGTAGGTGGCTCAGGCAATCTGGTTTGTTAAACTGTTCTTTTTTCATGTGTATCTTTTTTCGTAGTTGACACAGGTTCCTCAGCTGACATCTCCAACTCGCACCAAGGCAGTGAGTCTCTGAGGATGGAGTTTTATTCAAGTTCAGTTATTTCAAAAAGTAAAGCTGCTGAAATGATTTTGCATCTTGATGTATCAGTAGATACTCCTCTGCCACCTTGAATCTTCTCCAACTCAGAGAATGGCACGGACATCTTTAAGTGCTAAAAAAGGAAGGTGCTGATGACTTCTGCAATGGTAAATAAATGCAATGACAGTCATGTAGAAAACTGTTTTTCTCCAGAGTTGTTTACATTAAGGCAGCATATACCACAATCTTGCAATGATCACACGAGCTTTTCCAGCTTTTTTGTTATCAGTACAAAAGTAACTGGCAACAGCTAAAATAAAGTGCAATGCCAAAGACCAACAATGAAAGACATTTTCAAAACATTATTTAAGGGCTCATATCACACACACATTATCCAAGCTGGGGAGCTGGAGCCTACCCCAGTGGTCATTAGTTGGAAGGCAAGAAACACCCTGGACAGGTCACCAGTCCATCACAGGGAAGACACACAGACATACACATTCACACCTAGGGGCAATTTAGCATCGCCAGTTCGCCTCACTGCATGTCTTTGGACTGTGGGAGGAAACCCACACAGATACGGGGAGAACATGCCAACGCCACACAGAAAGGACCCTGTTTATCTGGCCAGGCTCTTGCGAGTGCCACCGTGCCACCCTGGCTTATATCACTAACAAAAAAATTTTTTCTTGCTTTTCTAAAATAAAATAATTTGATGTAATGCAGACATTATTAAATCTTCAAAACATATGATTTACTCCCCAGTCCCTACAGCCCAATTTGTTTGTATATTGATTTTTTATATTATTTTTTCTCTCTTTCTCTTGATCAGTGTTATATTGATGGGTGCCATTAGGGTAGGGGTTGGTGTAGGGGGCTAGCTGGTGCATGTAGCAACATGTACTCTGTCTATTGTACTTAAGATGAATAATTTGGAGTTTTGTCCTGAAAATAAAAACATGTGATTGCAAAAGGTTTGAGTGGTAAATAAACACCTTGAAGCATATCCATTATTAAACGAACAGCTGATTACTATATCGTCTGACATCAGAGCACTGTGAAGATTTAACACTTTAATAGGTTCTTTAGTTTTTTATGGTCTGTATGAAATGCTTAACAAAATGATATTTGTCTCAGAGTGCACAAAATCAATCTGATGGTAGACTCTTTGTGTGGAGAAAGCCTGGAGAAGAATTCAAACCAGACTGCACTAAGAGATTTGTACAGTACAGAGGTGGAAACATCAAAGCCTGGAACCGTTTTTCTTACAGCGGGGGTGGAGAGCTCATGTTCATTGATGTGATGACCTCAAGAGTGAATAAAGGCATTCTGGATGTAAACCTGCAGATGTTTGCTAAGAAACTGTTCAAACCATGATACTCTTATGACACTGACACTCTCCAGCTGCCTTTTAAGGAATATTCATCCAACAAGAAAATGATAATCTTGATGCTAATTGATACAATGAACATAATACATTTTAAGGATGGCACACATATCCAGTTACTTGTTGGGGCCACTGTAGATCAGACTCCTATATTTTTCCTTCTCCCATTTCACCTCCCAAGTTTTCTGAAAAACCTTAGATTATCTAGATGGTGGCACACTGCAGTGATCGAGATAATCAGATTCAAGAAAGTTTTATATTTCCGTGCCTTCTAATGTCATTATCTTTAACAGCGGGCTTTACTGACACACCACAATATAAAAGTGGTGCCTTTGTTCATCTTCACACATAAATAAACAAAATAAATTCAACCAGATATTATGTGAAAGACATCTCATGCGAGAAAAGACGCTTGAATAATAATTGACCAACACTCACTCAGTTTACCAGAAATATCAGGCCCATCAAAGAGCTCCAACTGGAGTCGAACCAATTTTAACTCTCACCACGTCATCCATTATGGTTAAGCACTTCTCCTCACCCTTAATCTGATGAGCTGTTGAAAAAAAATATAATATAAATGTAAATGTTCTCCATCGCATAACACAAACCAACCAAGACACTGTACTTCTGATGCAGTTTTGTAAGCTTAACTAACATTCTGTGATGGCTTAATATAACAGTAAGGTCCTATTTTGTCTTGCAATGACAGAATTTCTTTAAAAAAAAAAATCAATAATGCAAGAAAAAATAGTTGCTGCAACCATTTTACTGTACTAAAAGCAAGTATGAATTCAGATGCCTATTCATAGTTCTCTAATGCACTACACAGAATGCTCTCGTAGAAAAATATTACACTGAATGTGCATTTGTAACATTTGTTTAAATAAATAAATATGTAAATAAATATGATTTTAATAAATATCTACATGAATAGATACTCAAATCACCCACGCTCACCAAGTTGATCAAAAACATCTGGATATTTAGAGAGCGCTGATGTTGGACTAGAAAAAGCAGAACCGTCCTCCATTATGCACTTCTTCTCAGTTTTAAGAGGATGTGCTGTAAAAACATTGAAAAATAGGTCCAATAACAGTGTTTGTTATTAACATAATGTTAACAGTCTAATAAAAAAACAGAGTTTAACAAAAACATCAGGATCCTCAGGATCTTTGCATTTACAGTATCAAACCAAAGTTACATAAAACATTTGATTATGACTGTGACATTATGTCTGTTAATCATTCAACTGTTATAAATGATCAATGATGAATCCACATCATCCATTAAACTGAAGGCTTTCTCCTCTGTGTTGCCCAGATGTGCTATAAGAAGAAGAGGAGTCTTTCAGAGACTTTACTGCAGGGCTGTCCAGTCTTATCCGCAAAGGGCCGGTGTGACTGTAGGTTTTCATTCCAGACAAGCAGAGGCACACCTAATTACAAGTTTAATCACGAGCTTAGTCTTCAACAACCGATCATGTTCTCCTGCTTTGCTGGAATAAAAACCCACAGCCACACCAGCACTTTGTAGTCGGTGACATTTTTACAGGTTTTTTCAATCTTCACACAAAGTGTGACTGAACAAGTTCTAAAAAACACATGCACATATATATACAGACGATGTGGCACAAAAGTCTGACACACTGAAAATCTGAAAAATCGAGATTTTGTCATTTAAACACAGAAATAAATAACACTTTTGTTTGACCTTGAAAAAATTAAACAAAAGTTATGACAAGTAAAATAAAGAAGAGATATTCAATATTATGCACTATATCCAGCTCACTACTAATTTAAACAAATTTGTGAAAGTGACCATGTTAAGGCCTTTGTACAACAGGTCAGATATTTTTGAATCTCATCTCTTCTAGTGAAGCTTGTGTTCAGAAAACTCTCAGAAGCATTTGATCTGCTAATCAGAGGCTTTTGCCCAAACCTGTGAAGTTCATGTCACCTTAAGTGCAAACTGTTGCTGAAGCAGAAGGACATACCAAATTTCAAAATTCATCTTAAATTCCAATAAATTATTGTGCTGAAAATGAAATTTGTAGTGGAAAATGCTGTATTAAATTAGAAAGGAATGCAAAATAGAAGAGGGACAGAAGGAGGGTAAACCATGCCCTCTGGACTCCTGCCATTGACGGCTGTAGCATGTGTGGGGATCAAACACTCTTCTTTGTTAGGGCCAATGCTTGTATGATTTTGCCACTCAGGAGCCCTACAATTATGCTCCAAGTGAAACATCACCAAAACTTACCAGTGTTGTTATGAACTTCACAGTCTTTACTGAACTCTGTTGCTGGGCTGGAAGGACCTGAACAAACATCCTCTTCTAAAGGGAAGCGCTCTTCAGTTTTAACGTGCTGTGCTGTAAAAGACAAGATGCCATTAAAACTTATTTATATCATATACAGACTGTTTTATCAATCTGAGCCACTGATTTAGAAACAAACATCATATTAGACAGTGTGACAAGAAAACTTTGTTGAAAGGATCAGTTGATACTTTGAACATTACTGTGCTCCATTTGAGGAAACTACCCCCAAAATCAAGTCTAGGTCTCCCCTCTTCATATGATTTTATACCAAATCACATTTCAGTCAATAATGGGGTAAAAGGAACTTGGACCATGTAACTTAAGAACCCATCACCCATACTCACAACAATTATCACTAACTCCAGAATATTTAGAGCAGTTTGACGGTGCAGCCAAGCTAACTTCTGCTCCCTCCACAAAAGGCAGGCAGCTGCCTTCAGTTTTTCCATGCCCTGCTGTAAAAAAACAGAAAAGACATACGACAACAGGCTTAATTCAGGTCTAATTCAACCACATTATACCAGAATTACAGCAACATTCACAACTGCACAGAAATTTGCTTAGAAAGTGTGTCTTATTATATGTCTCTAGTTAATCTGATATATTAAAAACAGCAAAATCAGCAAAGATAATGTACTTTAAGGGCACAACAGACATTCGTTTCATTTTAGCAGGTGGTACAGTCCTACTTCCTATGAATCATCTGACCAAATTAATGCATCATAATTTGTCCAACTTATAGTTCTTTAAAGCTGCACAATATTTAAGAGTCATCATACTGACGCAGCTCATCAGAAGCTCCAGGGTCATCAGAGTGTATTGATGATGGGCTGGTTGGAGCTGAACCGATTTTAACTTCTTCCACATCATCCATCCAGCTCTTTTCTTCTGTGTTACGTTGAAGTGCTGTGAAAAAAAAATAAAAATCTGTCAGCGTCTAGTATTTGCATAGTGTCTGGCTAAAGATGGCACAACACCACCTTTCTTTTCTGATACTGACACTAGAACCTTGGCCGATACTGATTCAATATTTTTTTCTTAAAAAATTACTAAGCTTTAAAATTAGCTATTTTTATTGCAGCAAGCCACTTAAGAAGAGCATCTGATACCCATTAATGCTTTTATGCAATCTCTAATTTTGGAAGTGTTAAATCTAACTGAACTCTGCTCTTTGTTTACTGAATGATGGGGAAATCTATTTTACAGTACACCAATGCAGAATGCAATACCCCTGCAGCTAAAAAGCTAAACTAGTTCTGGTTTATATCTAATTTTAATTTACCAGAATTTTGGATTCTCACATTTAATAGATTTGTGACCCTTAAAGGTTTGACTACAAGGCTGAATAAGGCTCAACCAAAGGCAATACAAGCTGAACATCTTTTATTGGAGATTTTGTATAGAATTTTTCATTGTATTATCATCACTGTACTAATGAAAGCTTCAGTATGCATCAATATCCCTTTTTTATCACGCTTTAGATCTGAAAAAAATCCACAAGTGTTTCCATCCAAAGAAAAAACAAAGAAGCTGCTGTTATTCTCAGATAATGGACTGGCTATGACAGAGCTCAGACCTCAACATCACTGAATTATTTGGATTGTGAGAAGCAGAAAATGCAGACTGAACTTTGGAGATGTGGAAGAACATCCCTGCAGATTACTTTAAAAAAACTGAGTGCAAGTCTCCTGAAAAGAATGGAAGCTGTAATAAAGCCAAAAGGTGGACTCATTAACTACTGCAACTACCCTCCTTTCTTCCCAGATTGCCAACTGTTATGGATCAAACATTTATATATGTAAACATAACTCAATATAAACTGATCACAAAGCAACTCTGTACATTAACACACAACAGCACAACTTAAAACAGAAACATTCATACACACTCACACATTTTACACAATGTAAGGACATGGGTCCTGTATTTGCCACATATAAATTATATGTAATAGCCCATGTATAATAAATGTAATGTAAAAATCAGTAACACTTTATTTCTATAGTCCACTTTAGATGCTTTAGATGCTTAATTTACTTTCAACTAAATACTAAATACTACTAAATTGACCATAATTCTAAATCTAACCTTAACCTCAACCCAAAACCTAAATACAATCCTCACCCTGGTCTTAGCCCTGAACTCGGTCCAAATCCTAACCTTAACCCCAGCACTGTTTAGAATCAACTGAGTTTCAACAGATAGTTTGTTAACAATTTGAACATCTGTAGATTATCTATAGGGGACTATAGTGGACTATCCAAATAAAGTGAGACCTAAAAATCTAACCCTAACCTCGATAACCAAAAGAAATGTTTCTGCACTTGTTTTTTTTTCAAAAAAATGAAACATGTATCTTTTGTAAAAAGCACTAACACTGAACGTTACCCCTGTTTCTTCCTGGTTTACCTGCAAAGTCAGGAGATTTTTAGTCCTGAAAACACACAAAAACAAACAAATGCAAACACACTGACTTCAGTAACAGAGCCAGTCATTTAGAACAATACAAAACTGTTCTTACGTACCTCCATGAATCACACGCATGTGTTTTTTCATGGATTGTGAATAAGGAAAGCATTTGTAACAGACTGAGCACTGATAGGGTTTTTCTCCAGAGTGAACCCGCTGATGTTCCTTTAGATGTCCTATCTGACGAAACCTCTTCCCACACTGAGAGCATTTATAAGGCTTCTCTCCAGTGTGAACTCGCTGATGGACCACCAGATCCTTCGCTTGGCTGAAACTCTTCCCGCACTGGCAGCACTGATGTCGATTGTCATCTTTATATGTGCTCTGGTGACAGTTCTGGAGCAGAACTCCTTAAAAAGAAAATAAGGTAAAACCAAAAAAGGCACCCGATATTCTTACATTAAAACAAAATTATAATACTAAAGATTTAAAATACATTCTGTTTCAGAATAACGACTGTATATTGCTGTACTTAACTAAATTGTACCTTCTGAACACATAAACACTGCACTAACATTCAACTAGCCAATTTAATTGCAAGTATGTCAGTAGATCAGTGTATCTAGAACTGTATCTACTGTACATCTTGCACATAAAACAATGCTCTCTTACCTGAATGAAGCATAACCTGATGCTTTTCCAGAGCTGATAAGCAAGTGAAGCGTCTGTCACAGTCTGAGCAATGATAAGGCTTTTCACATGTATGATTACGCTGATGAGCTTTGAAGTTCTGTCTCCAGCGAAAACTCTCCCCACACAGAGTGCACTGATACGGCTTTTCTCCTGTGTGCACTCGCTGGTGAATTTCAACCTGTGCCCGTCGTGTGAACTTCTTCCCGCACTGAGAGCACTTGTGTGGACTCTTGTCTACGTCGAATAGCGCAGGTTCAGCCTCGTGAGTCTGCATGTGTCTTCTCAGATCACTGGGACGCCCAAAGCCCTTTAAGCATATTGAGCAGTTGTGTTCTCTCACACCGGTATGAATTCCCAAATGCGCCTTCAGGTCTCCTGATCTGTAAAACCTCTTACAGCACACAAAACATTCAAAGGCTTTGTCCCCCGTGTGACCTTTCCTGTGAACACGCAGGGCTGACCGCTGTCTGAAGCATTTGTTACACTCAGAGCACCGAAAAGGCTTCTCTCCGGTGTGAATTCGCTCGTGCTGCTCCAACGTCTGACGCCTTGCAAACTTTCGTCCACAGTAAGAACATGTGAAGCACTTCCTATCAATGTCATCATTTCCTAATGGACAAAAAAGTTATTGTTAATGTTAACAGTAAACAAAAGAACATAAACAAATAGTTGCGCTGCACTGTATGGTCATAAACTGTGATGTGGAATAAAGCTGTTGTCATGATGATTTGAAAGGTGATAAATTATTATTAAAATGACTTTTTTTGCTTTATTTTTAGTTACTTTAGCTGTGGCTTTCAAGTTAGTCAAAATCATTCTTATTATTATCATTATAATAATAATTATTATTATATTACAATATTATTAGTGTCATTTTACTTCTTGGCACAGTGGTTGGGATTAAGAAAGGGTTAGGCTGGTGCTTAAAGACAGAATAGCAGTTTAGTTGTGCATATGGCTGCTGTCAGAAGAAAACCTCATATCTCCAAAATGATAACTTTTATGACAAAACGATTTTTTTTTTATGACAAAACCAGACTTTTTTCCAAGTCGTTTCCTTCGGTCCATTCTTCCTAAAATTTACACACAATGTAAAGAGCAACAGGCATTTTTAAATTATGTCAAAAAACGACAAAAATGGAGATACGAGGTTTTCTTCTGACAACAGCGATACGTGTCTTTGCACTTGAACAATCAACTGTATTTACAAGAGGGAAACTCAAAATTCTAGACAGTACACAAGTTTATCAGGTGTGACGTATAACATGACGTTTCACTTTTTTCCACCAGTGAAAAATGGTAAACTTGCCAGTCTGATTCACTTATACATGATCTATGTGCTTTATTACTATAGCAAAGAAAAAAGCAGGACACATATTCTCTGGACCTCTACAGACGTGGGGGCATATCTTTCAATAAATACCCAAACACAGTGA